AGTGAAATGTTTTGAATTTTTTTTCTTTTTTTTTTTGCTCTTGGTTTTCAGTGAACCTGGTTAAAAGCAGCAAGCAGTATCTCTGCTACAATCTGAATTTATGCTGCCTTGAAATTTCCTCCACCAGATTAATTAATCTCAGTCTCCCACCACCTTTAATCTCAGTCTCCCACAAAGTCTCAAGACATGAGCAAACTGTAGGCTAATTTTCTGCCAGAACATACTGCGCATGGCCTGGAGTCCAAATGCCAATGGAGTCCTTGTGCCCAACTGAAACTGCCTAAGCTTGGCTTATAGCATTTTGGGCTTCTTCTCCAGCTGCCATTTTCAAATCTTTCTAAATTCCTTTGCAAACCAATTCCAAAGGTTTCTAAACTGCATGGTCAGTATATTCACAGCCAACAACCTGGCAGTTGTTACCAAAATTTGTATTAGTCACTTTCCCCATCGCTGGGACAACATACCTGACACAACTTGAACAAGGACGATGTATTTGGGTTCACAGTTTAGAAGTTTCAGCTCTTGAATGGTACGCTCTGAGGCAGGACAGCACGGTGGGGGTGGGGTATTGCAGAGGAAAAGCTGTTCCCCTTGTGGCAACCAGGAAAAACAGAGATGAAAGGAGGAGTCAGGCAGGCAGGGAGAGCTTTCCAGATGATACATCTGGTGAGCAGCCTCACAGACCCCATCTCCTAACACCAAGTCAGTTATAAGCCCCCAAATCCAATCCCCTTGCCAAAGTCCCATCTATGAGTGCATGAGGCTTGGAGGGATGTAGACATAGACTATAACATGTAATAGTGTATGTACAAAAAAGGGAAGTTGTACAAAAATGCCCACAAAATGAAGCGATTCACATTTTAAACACATATACAAAATAGCTCAGTGGATTAAAGCGCCTGCAAGGAGATGTAGGGGCCTGGGGTTCAAACCCTGGGGCCTGCCGTGCTGGCCCCACCCCGGGGTACATTGAGACAGCATTTGAGACTGGGCATGGTGGCATGTGCCTGTAATACCAGCTCTTGGGAGACTGTAAACAGGTGGATGGCTACAAGTCTGATTTAGTAGTGAGACCCTGAACACCTGTAGACCTTTCCTTAAAAAATACAAAACAAAAAACAACAACAACAAAACCCATACACATTCATGGCAACAGCACCTACATTTGCAACAATAGAGCTTAAGGAAAGTAAATCAATAGCAAATAGTATGCAAATATGCTTTCAGACCTGGAGACAGGAGATTATTCAGATACGCAGGTGACATTCAAATGAATTTCCCCTTTCTCCCTACTACTATATTCTACTATATTAAGAATAAAATTGGTTCACATATGATTTTTAGAATTCAATATAAGCTTCTATTACAAAAGAAAAGAAATAAGAATTTTCTGACAGAATTTTTTGACAGAAATACCTTGTAGAGACCTAGCTCTGCTTACTATCATGATAACTTGACGCTGTCACACAAAGGCAGCTTTGTTCCCAACCAGACTGCTCTTGGTAGTTGCCTCGTCTGACAGTAAGGTCTTTCCCGAACAAAAAGGTATTTATCTTGACATGCTGACATGTCAGGATAAAGTTTTGGCCAGAAGCTTCAAACAGAAGTCTTCTCCTAATACAGCATAATGAATGCAATCATCCTGGTGAACATTTACAATTCTCTACTATGTTCCAAGCCTGATGCCTGTGGCCCAATCCTGATAATAATCCCAAGAAAAGCGCCTTACTACCCATGTAACAGATGCAGAAACTGAGGTTCAGAAGGATTAAGAAAGGGACTGCAAGGCGATGGGGACTTGACACCTCTGATCTTCTAGAGCGACCCCAGACAGAGTCCATCATTTCTCCCATCTACCCTTGTGGCCAGGGTGGGGCTGGTCTGCCACATCAGGAAGCAGAGGAGCACCACATGGCTCCAGGGAAGCCCAAGGGCCCAAGGTCACAAAGGACTCTGCTGGGGGAGGTTTAGGCAGATCACATACTCCCACTGGGGCTTCTCTGTCCCAGATGGAATGCAAAGTTCACGTGACAACTTCATGGTTATATGTATTGATGGAGTCTAAGCTTATCCAGACCTGCACATGTCTGGGGCCTTATGGAAACCAACAAGCAAAAGTCTGGATTCCTTCCTCTGTTCTTTCTTATTCCAGTTACTGCTGGAGCCTCTTATCCCCATCCTGTCCATTAGCACAGGGAAGGCAGAAAAGAGGCAGAAGAAGCTGTCTGGCAGCAAGGTGGACAGAACACTTGGCCTCCAGATGCTGAGCTTTCAGACAAAGTAACATCACATGTTACGAATGTCCCCTCAGATTATAATGCTCAGGAAGAGCGGGTTAGGGAAATAAATTTAGAGAGAAGAGTGGCAGAGGGAATAGATGGATTCAATTAAGGCAAAGAACATCAAACAATTCCATGGACACCTCGTTTTAATGGAGTATGTCATTTTCTCCTTGCTGCCTGCAGGTAACTCCCAACAACAAACAGCCCAGAAAGGATATAGGGTACCCCACGATTCCACAACCCAAGCAGGCATTTAATGCCCTCAAGTGAGAGAGCTAATACCCCTCTCCTCATCTCTTTGTACTATGCAGAAGAAGTACATGAATAAGACTAAGCAAATACGGGACACAAGTCAGACACACGATGCTCCAGAACCAGGTGGTGTTCCAGTTTAGCATATTTTCTTCATTTCCATGGAAGGTTTGCTCTACGGTAAAGTCTCCTTTTTAATGAAGCCAACCACTCTGTCATTTTTTAAAGACGATAAACTAATAAAATGCTTATATTTTCTTTCTCTTCCTAAACATTAATCATGAGGGTGTTATGCTTTTGCCAAACAGTGAAGCACACAAACGTTATACTAACATGCTGTAAATTACTGTTTTGCAGGTCACTTTATCCCTGTTAAGAATGTGTAAGATTCTTATGTCCTCTTACAGTATTTGCAGTCATTTACAACCAAAAGGAATTTGGCTCTGTAATAAATGTGTCCTATACAGAGCTGATATTAGTATAAATGGGTACATAATAATATACATGCACTACATTGATCTGAGTACTACTACAAACTGACCTAAATTTCCACCCAAAGTCAAGTGTAAAAGTCTAGTCGTTTGATAAACAATGTTTTCTTTACTCTGTAGCTCCTGGCTGTGCAAAGTAATTGACTGCCATGTGATCCTTCAATACAAGTGGGTTATGGTGTCACAAAGTTGCTGCACCTTCTACAGTCAGGGAAAAAACTGGGGAATGTTGAGTAGAAACTCTATACTGGACAGCACTCAAACTGCAATAATGTACACGTGTTCTGGCAGTGCCTGCCTGGCAAGTGTGAGGTCCTGAGTTCGATTCCTGGTTCCAATAATAATGATGATGATGATGATGATGATGATGTATATGTGTCTGATCACCAATTAAACATTGCAATATATCCAAAGTCTTTTATAGAAATACTAAATCATAATCACTACTAGATTTCAGCCCAAACTTTTTACCCGTTGGTATAATACCGGAATTTGAACCCAGGACCTTCACACTGAGCTGTATCCCTATGTCCTTTTTAATTTTGAGACAGGGTCTCACTAAGTCTCAGTCCATATTTTACTATCAAAGCCTGCCAGCTAGAAGAGAATGACACTATCATACCATTCCCTGGGTCCTAAATAATAGCCTCCTTTGAGAGATTGCTGCAAAAGTAAGCTAACGCTAAAATAAGGAGCCACTGTCTTGTATCTCTGAGATAGGGAGTCCTGACATTTAGTGATAAGCCATCCTTGATTTTTAAATTTTTATTTGTATTTACTTAGAGAGATATGCACTGGCGCTCAGGAGAGGAGGGAACCCTGGAAACTTGAGGCACTGCTTCCCCAAAAGTGGCCGTACTCATCAGGCTACGGGCAGGATCAGCTGCCACAGCCTATGGGACCCAGGTCCTTGGGTCCGACCTGGCCAGGGTGCTCCTTCACGTGGGCACAGGAGCAGAGGGTCCCCGCCACACAGCCCTCCCCCAAAGCAGCTCACAGTGTGGCAGTGAGCACTCCTGAGAACAAGCCAAGAGCATGTGTGTGAGAGAGAAGCCACAGAAGTGGTTGTAACCTAACCTCAGAAGTGACATCTCATATGTTTGTTGTCGTCTACTTGTCAGAACCAAGTCATCAGGTCCAGCCCGTACCAGAAGGGAGGAGATCACACAGGACAGGAACGTTGGGAAATGGGGCTCACTGGAAGCCATACTGGGGGTAACCTATACCTTCCCTGCCTGTGCAACAAGACAGGAATAAACACCAACACAGATCATAAACAGAGAAAAGAGGAGCGCAGAATGGAAAGGGCCCTGCTCTAGTGATTGCTTATTTCTGCCTGTCTGTCTGTCTGCCTGTCTGTCTCTCCAAAATCCAACCAAACAACCCACCTTCTGACAGACACCTTCTCTGAGGAGCATCACACTTGCACATACTGCCAGGGGTCAGGCCCCCAGCTCTCCACACTGCTGCCTTTAGTTTTTGAGACAGGGTCTCCCTATGTAGTTCAAGATGGCCTTGAATTCCATGTAGCCAAGGCTGGGCTCAGACTGGCTGCAGTCTTCCTGCCTCAGCCTCCTGGGTATTGGGATTATCATGGTGCACCATCACACCCAGCTAGCGCTCCTTTTCTAACCCACCTTCATACTCCAGTAAGTCTTGGACACCTCAGCCAGAACAACTTTCTAACTCACACTTTTATCTTTACAATGCCAAAAGCCGTTGGTGGTACCCTATTGTCAATCAAAATCCAGACTCTTTAATCTGGCATTCAGTGAGTAATTTGACCCATGTCTGGCTACCCAAAAGAGAACCAGCAGAGAGCAAATCCTTCCCTTCTTTTAGCAAGACTGGTCTACACCTTACCATCATAAACCCTCCCAAATTCCATGATGCAGAGCAGATCCCATCTTCTGATCACTCTTAACTGCACCAGCTCCTCCTGTGGACAGGCACAAGTGGAAGCCATACCACTCACCTCGAAAGGAAGTTCAGTCACTGGCCAGTCCCTGGGCAGGTGTCATATTTCCCTTAAGGAGTTGATGAGTTCCACTCTTTCCCTCTTCCAGGAAGGTCTGGTTTGCCTCCCTCCAGGGATAGCTGGCTTCTGACAGGCAATGTTGGTGGGAAAGTTGAACAGATGGGCTGAAGGAACTGTTAAGCCTAATAGTCAGCATAGCGGAAGAGGTCACTACGCAATAAATACTCGTTCGCACCACACATCCTTCAAATGGGAACGCTCCGCCCAGCAGCACCTCAGGGAGGCCTGAACCTTCTAAAGAGCAAAGGCAAATGAGATTCATCCGGGTGCGAAAGGGTTGAGCCCATTCACACACGGACAAACACAAGCCGGCCCGCACAGCACGGCCACAGACAGCTCGGTATCCCCTGTTTCACCGCCCATCCCATCCCTACACTGGCCATGGAGTGCAGGGTGACAAGTGCCACGGCATTGGATGACACGGCCAGGGCAGAACTCCGCCTTGTGAAGCAACTTCAGTGTTTGGACTATGGGGCAAACGCACAATTGGGGAACAGCGGGAGTGAGATCTGATGGGTGCTTGGGAAGTAGAGGGGGAAAATTTGGGGAGGGGTGTACGTGTATTTCTAGTAAACAACAACAAAAAACCCCTCTGTCTTTTAAAGAGCTAACAGAAGACCTTTTCAGGGTCTTTATTACTCACCCCAGGAGGAAAATCTCGAGTCAAGCACCGAGCATCCAAACTCCCGAGAAAAGCCAGCGCCCCCTCCCTAGCAGTGAAGCCCGCAGCGAGTTCGCTCAGGACCCGACGCCTGCGCCACCCCGGCCACACGGACTGCGCGACCTCGCACTGCATGGGACCCTGGGAGCCAAGCCGGGGGCGCCGGGCAGCCGAGTTTCCTTCGTTCGGCCGCAGAACCGGGCGGGAAGGACCGCTCCGCCCTGTCGCCGGCCGCGGGAGCCTCTTCCACCTGCTCCAGAGGCGTCTGCAAGTCTGCAGCCCCAGGTCCCCAGGCCCCCGGCGGACTCCGGTGCAACTCTCCCCAGGCCTCCCTGCGGGGCCTCCGGGAGCCCTAGGGGCGCCTCACCGCGGCTGCGGGGCCGCAGGCCGGCTGGGATGCGCTGTCCCGGACTGGGGTCCCCGGCCCCGCGAGGAGCGCGCCCCTCCTCCGGCCGTGCTCCGGCCTCTCTGCTGCCCCTGGCGGCCGCGACGCGCAGGGCGGGCGGGCAGCGGGCGGGCACCGAGCCGGCCCCTCCCCCGCTCCTCCCCCGCGCGGAGCGCTCAATGTCGGAACGTTCCGAAGATGACGTCGGAGCGTTCTCGAATCCCGTGTCTCTCGGCTGCTGCTGCCGAAGGAACAGGGAAAAAGCAACAAGAAGGAAGAGCAATGGCGACACTGGATCGCAAAGTGCCCAGTCCGGAGGCGTTTCTGGGCAAACCCTGGTCCTCCTGGATCGACGCCGCCAAATTACACTGCTCCGACAGTAAGAACCCCACCGTCTCCTCCTCCTTTTATTATCCTGTAACCTTTCCATTCACCTAGAGCCACTGGGAAAAAGTGTGTGTGCGAGAGAGAAGAGTGGCCCCCGTGTCCTCCATGCTTTCCCTCTCTCTCCAAATAAATACACACGGAGACAGATCACCAGTGCCCAGGGAGGCCCGGCTGCCAGGGCCGGCCGTCTGTCTGTCTGCCTGTCTGTCTGTCCGTGCCCTGCTCCCCGTGGCAGCCCGCGGGGTGGGCTTTCGCAGCCCCACCGTGCTATCTGTTTAAAAGGCTACTCTGTTGCTGCTTGCATAGTTTTTTTGGTACCTATCTGGGCCAGGTAGATGGGAACCCAGACTTGGGAGAAAACGTTGCATTCTCAATTTTTGCAAAATTTTCATAGACAGTATTTATATCGATCTATTTGCAAATAAACACTCTCCCTCCCCCTTTGACTTTGGCTTTTTTTTTTCTCCCCCACCCCCTCTTTTTTTTTTTTTTTTTCTTTCCTCATTTTCTCTTTTCCTTTTCTTTTTCATCTACAGATGTAGATTTAGAAGAGGCTGGAAAAGAGGGTGGAAAAAGCAGGGAGGTTATGAGGCTTAATAAAGAAGGTAAGTGGAGCTACTGGCATTTTAGTGTTAGCATGTGTGGCAGAATCTTCACAGGATTTGGAATGTAATGTGAATTGTTCTGCTGGGTGCAGAGTGACTAAGGCTTGTCAAAAATTGAGCACGCCCAGGTGACTACTGCTTCATGTTAACTTCTTTCAAAGTATAAATACAACTGGGGGGCCCAGGGTGGGGAAAGCTAGGAGGCAGAAGCTTGCTGCACTTAAGTGGGAGCCCACATCGGAACCTTCTGATGTACATCAGCCATTCTCCTGTGGAGTATCATTGCTGATGGGGGGGTCAGGATCCCTGAGAACTGAGGCTCCCTTCCCAAGCATTCCAGCCTTCCTATGGGTAAATGCACAAGTTTTAATGAACCCCACATGGTCACTCATTCTAGCAGCTACTTCTCCACTCTCCACTGAAAACCATTGTACAAGGCAAACCTTTGCAGCAAGTGACATTTGGCCCACTTGGCGTGCGGTCACAGATTATTACATGGCAACCAGGGTTAGGCTGTGTGTGCAGCCCCCTTCCCCATGCTAGTCCCTCCTCTCTGCTTTCCCAGCGTGCAAGTACGTTAGTTCAAATGGGACAAACTAGTAGATGGGCCGTCCCAGAGCGAGACATATGAATCAGATACACGTGGTTGTTGTAAATAAATCACCCTTGTTGTCTGTGCAACTGTGCTGGATGCAATGCTGGTCTGTGGGCTTCCAGTGAAGCAAGTCCAGAGGCCACTTTTGCTGCACAAATGGATGGGTTTGTTTGAATTGGAATGCCCTCACTGAAGTCTTGTGAATGTAATTGGCTGGAGCTGAGGGCGGGACACAGACTTGAAGGGGCAGAAGAGGTTGGTGGGAGATATTTCCTAAAAGTTGAGGCAAAGCTAGGCCATAGTTACCCAAAATGAATGGAGAAGAGGCATTTAGCTCCAACGATCCAGCTCGGGAAAGGGGATTTCACCCCCAAGGACCAACTGAAACCTGCTTGGAAAGATGCAACTCATTTTGCAGGTCAACACCTATCAGAGTTGGCTTTTCTGTGTTCAATCATTTCCTGACCATCCAGCAGGAGGAAAATGTGTGCTTTAGAAAAAATAACATGGAGGTTAAAATGCATGCATATTCAAGGACAGCTCTGTAGCATAGTGTTTCTGCTAATTAAGCACTTTGGGAACACAACATTATTCTAAGGATGTTTGCCTCTAAATATCTTGGTGTGATCTTAACATGTGGGTTTAGGATTCGCGAGGGAATGATGTCCAGTGGACTTCTTACAAGTGACAGCTTATTTATGTTAAATATCCATGTGTGTTGGCAGTGGGTAGGATCCCTAGAGGTTGTCTGTCGTCACAAACTCTGGAGATCTTTAAACCCTTAAGGATTGGGTTATCAGTTCCATGAGAGATGAGAAGGCCGTGAAAAACTTTAAATTGCAGTTGAGTAGAGGTGATGGTATGGCACAGGACTGGTGCCTCTCTGTCTGGGTGATGAGTTGTGGCTGTCATATACAACACTTGTATTCTTTCCCCTCTTCCCACTTCTGTTTCAAAAGATTCTTTTTCTCAGATTTCTTTGCCTCATGAGAAATAGATTCTTTTAAGGAAAAATGAAAAGCTCTCCTTCCCTCAGAAGTCACAAAGGGTACATCCTGCTTATTATGTCCTTTGTCCTGGGAAGGTACAACGATTGAGCCCCTAATTATATGTATTTGCATTAAGGGCACCCACTGTTCAGTGCAATATGCAGTCGCTGGCTCCACCAGCATAGCCACGCAGGGGCTGACTCTCTTTGGTCACCAAGTAGAGTTGGGTGAGCAGGGCCTGGTGGTCTTTCTAGTACATGGCACTGTTTTCTCTGCAGGTAAAATATCCTAAGTGCGTATTCCCCATCGTGAAGATTGAAGAGTCAAGATGAGACTCAGTACGTCAGGGTGTTTGATTGTCTGGGACTCCCGTAACACTGGTTGCACTGGCCACAGCCTCTATGTTGGAGTTTCCATGTGGGAGGTTTGGGGTGGGGGCGTGTGCGATGGCCCCTGTGGGACAGTGTGCCTCTGTATGACTCTGTGTCTGTGGATATGAGCATGCGTGGATTGACCATGATGCTCCTGGCAGTAAGCAGGTCTTGAGAAGAGATTTGAACTTTAATGGCAATGAATGGATATTCATTGAATGAATATTCAATAAATGGTTCTTCTGTCACATTTATATTACATTTTGTTTCTCCACTCATCTGTTGATGTACATTTGGGGTCTTCTCACCGTTGCGCTCCTATGAACAGTGCCGCTGAGAACATTGGTGTGTTACGATATTTATTATAGACTAAGCTTACAGAGGAAAGTTAGCCTAGAAATGTGAAATGAGGTTCACTTTACCTTTTGCCTCTCTGGCCTCACTTTCAGAAGCCAGAGTTTTTGTCTGTTTGTTTGTTTTTATAATTTTTTTTTTGTGGAACCAGGGATTGAACTCAGGCCCTTGCCAGGCAAGCGTTTATTTTACTGAGCTATCACCCTGGCCCTGTTTGTTTGTTTTTAATAAACTAATTATTATAATTACTATTCCTTTCCCGTCCTCATCCCTTTAACCTTTCTTTGCTTCAGTTTTCTACCTGCCTCAGGTATGAATTGTTAACTGAATGCTTTGAAATCTTCCTAATGAAATCTTGCACACCGGTGTTATTGCTTCATCCAAAGGTAGCCAAAACTGTGGTCAAGAACTTTTGCAAATCCTTTTTTTTTTTTTGCGGAACGGGGGATTGAACTCAGGCCCTTGCGCTTGCCAGGGAAGCGCTTATTCCACTGAGCCATCTCCCCGGCCCTTGCAAATCCTTTGAACCTGGCCACGCATCACCTGAGTTCAGAAGCTGTCACTAATTCCAGAGTTGGTTGGGTTCTGCGGGTCCTATCAGAGCAGCCTGGGCAGGAAATAGAGCGCGAGGTAGCTTCCGAGTCATCTTACGGGGTGCAGTGTGGGCCCTGGAGGGCCTTCCCCTTTCCAGGGTTTGTTCTCTCCTCTGTACAGTTCAGGAGCTGGCCCTGAACGTCCTTCCCAGGCCCAGGCAACCTCTGAACCTGGGCTTCTCACTTGAGACGGGCTGCTTCTAAAAAGCCTAGAAAAATAAAATCCCCCAGCCACAGCCCTCCCATTCCAATACCTACACAACTTCAGATATATGGAAAATAAGTGGGCATATTTTCTCAGTTTTCCACTTCTCCCTGAACTTCATCCACAGATATAGTCTACTATAAGTGTTGGGTGGTTGTTCTTGGACTTTCAGCTCTGCGAGAAAAGAGAGGTTTGCGTCCTAAGCCTTGGATCCTGTGCTCCGGGGGGACACCTGGCCGGGCAGTGCGGGTCAGGCTGACTGCCCGCTTGCCAGACAGGGGCTACCAGAGACCTTACCAGCCTCCTCTGTCACCAGAGCTGTACTTACGACGGCACATTCCAAGAAGGCCATCCTTCTGTGCTGACCTTTTAAAATGTTTTTTGTCTCTTAAGCGTAATCTAGCTTAATTAATCTTAATTTAGCTCTTAAACTAAATCTGGAGGGTTTTTTTCAAGCTAATTAGGGAAATGCTTTCTGTGATTTAGGAAGATGTTATTGCCTCAACTTTTTTTTCTTTTTAGAGAATTCCGGGTCATAGATAAGGAGCAAACTCAAGTGGTTCATAATTGTCCTTAACTGTAAAACAGAGATAATAATAGGGCTGTTGTGAGGATTAAGTAAGATATACATAGTATGTTTTTAATAAATATTTTATTCTTTTTATTATCACTATTATGATGATTATCACTACTATTCATGAAAAGTTCTAGAAAACTTTATTATTTAATTCAATTTTTAACAAATGTACAATGGCCAGAAAGATATATTGGATCAGAAACTTCATTTTTAGAGTATTATAATTTTACAAACCTAATAATTTATTTTTAAAATAATAATTTCTGGCCACATGGAGTAGAATGTGACATGAGAGGCTGAGGCAGGAGGATAACAAGTTCTAGGCCAGCCTGGGCAACTTAGCAATTTAGCAAGATCCTGACTCAAAATTTTTAAAAAAAGAAAAGGCTGGCGGTGTAGCTCAGTGCCAGGGCCCTGGGTCCAATCCCCATTACCACCAAAACCAAACAAAAGTGTGAACATCATTG